GGGAAAAATTTTTCACCCACTGTTCCTCAGACAAAGATCTATCTAGAATATATAAATAACTTAAAAACATCAGACCTCCCAAATTTAAAGACCCAATCTAAAAATGGACATCTGAAATGAACAGACATTTATCAGATAAAGAAGTAGAAAAAGCAAATAAACATATGAAAAAATGTTCAACATCACATCTTCCCCAAAGAATTAAAAGAATCATATCACAGTTATATATGTGCACACATATTCATAGCAGCACAATTTATAGTAGCTAAAATTTGGAAGCAGCCCAATTGCCCATCAACTAGAGCCTGGATAAAGAAAATGTGGTGGGTTTTTTTTTCATAAATTGGGGTACTACTCAGCCATAAAAAATGAGAAATTGGAGATATTTATAGCTAAATGGATGTACATTAGACTCTTCCTCTTATATTAAATGAATAGCACATATGTGTAAACACCGAGTAGTTTCTCTAGTGTGAGAAACTGAAAGTGTAAATAAGGACCAAAAGGTATAATAGATAATGTGAAAAAGAAGAAAAGGTGCAAAGGGGTAGCGGAAAGGAAAGAAAGCAATGGAATTAATATGAGAAAATGGAAACAAAGTCTTTGTAGATAGGGAGAGAGGGAGGGGTTGAAAGCAGGGTAGGGAAATGGGGAAAAAATAAGAGCCAAGATAGATTATGTAAAGGTAGAAATTTCCAATGATGAATGTCATATTGTATACCTTAGATGTACCATGAAAATTAATTTAAAAAAGAAAGAAATTGTAGGAGTGACTGAGAGCAGAATATGGCAAACTAAGACTTAAGGAATTTTAAAAGTCAGGGAAATAAGTAAGAAATAAGAAAATAATAGTATGCTACAAGTGTTTGAGTTGAAATCACTGCAGAGGGAGTTGAGAAGAGGAAGAGAACGTAGACTTCAACATTATGAAAGCAAATCAAAGGAAAAAACAAAACAAAACAGAAAATATCCAGCAGGAATTCAGTTCAGTTACTCTGACAAGAATGTATAGCACTCAGGAGGCTGAGGCAGAAGGATCACCATGAGTTCAAGCCAGCCTGGGCTACATAGTGAGTCCAAGGCCAGTCTGAACTGCTTAGGAAGACCTTGTTTCAAATAAATAAATAAATGAAAATGTATGTTCAAGTAATGCGTGACTGTTTTGCCACAATCGGAGTGTTCACGCTATTCCCTTCTTGCCTGGATTGCAGAGAATGATTATATGCAACCACACCACTATCACCTCTGTCCTTCCCACTACCAAGGTCAGGCAAACTCTATCTCAGAAATTCACTCTGCTGGCTTATAGACCAAATCTCACACTGTCCCATGTTGGCCTAGGAACAAATGATGGCAGAATCTGTGGACATGTTCACTAACAAGGTGAGGAGCATTGAGTTGGGGCATGCTCAGCAGGGGCCCTGGGGATCCCCAAAGTATTCACATGCTCCAGCTGGAGATTCTATAGGAGAAGGCCGCAGCTGGCATAGAATCCCAGGAATCAGTGAGGAACTCTCAGGAGGGCGTGTGAACCCCTGGAAATCCCCAGGCCTTGTTCACCATTTATCCTCTGTCCAGTTTGTGTGTCTGAGGGGTCCCCTTTTCCTCAGTGAGGATGTGGCCAAACTGCAGCATTCCTCACTGATTATATTAGAGCTGATGTGGCAAAAGGGCTGATATATAGTCTGAGCCAGGACTGCATATAGTCTCTGCAGCACCTATTCTTTCAATTCCATCCTCCAGCTATTTGAAGTGCTCTTCTAATGGCTGCTCCCTGAAGGTGCGGGAGGCTGCAGTGGTGGACCAGCCATACTGGCTATTTCCCCCTCCAATGATCCAGTTCTTAAGTTTTCATCTACATATATTGTCTTCCCAATTAATTCAGGGCGTAAGACCCTGCTCTACCACTGGGTACCTGTGGTTTTAGTGTGTCCTCTCAGAGCTCCTCTCATACAGCTTCTCCTCTAGTCAGCCATGTTGAAAATCCATTATATTTTTCAATTTATTTATCATATATGTACACAGCACAGTGTACTCAGGTTTCTTTTCTTTTTTTGGTACTGGGGATCAAACTCAGGACCTTCCGCTTGCAAGACAGGAGGTGGCACCACTGAGCTAAATCTCCTGCTGTACTCAGTTTTTGATGGAAAAAGATATACACAGCTTCCAAATGTCTATGTGGATATCATTCCATGTTATTACCTACTCTACATTTTAATGGCTTCTGTGTATTCCTTTGAATGGCTATGCTATAGTTTTTTTAAATTAATAGCCTATTGTTAAGTATTGATTTCCAACTTTTTTCTTATTTTAAATTATGCTGCTGTAAACTTAGACATAGGTAAATTTTAATATACCTCTATGATTATTGGATATACAGACACTTCTTCTTGAAAAAACTGGATCTAGAATAAAGGATTAGGGGCAGGGGATTTAGCTCAGTGGTTCCACCGATTGAACTCAGTACCTTGCGGTTGGGAGGCAGGCCGCGAAACCACTGCGCTAAATCCCTAGCCCTGTCCTTTTGATTTATATTTTCTTTTAGGTAAACTGTACTAATTTGTATTTTCACTGGTAACTCGTTGAAGTACCAATTTTTTTGTGCTCCTTCTAGTATTACTACTTCTGTTATTACTATAACCACCATCATAATCATTCCTTGTCAAATTTATTGATGAGAATAATATTTCTCTGGTTTAATTTGCATTCTTCTGGATACTCAGGATATTCAATGTTTTTAAATGTTTATAAATGGTTTTATATCATTTTATATGTTGCTTGTCTTTTGACTATTTTTCTGCTAGGGTATTTTTTTCTCCTAAAGCTCCAATTATTTCTAGAAGAGATGTAATATAAGACTATGAGAGTAGTGTTTTCTTTGACAGTGCATGTAATGTTATACAAATATATTAATTACAGTAGAAAGCTGTGTTTGGTTTTAATGACAAAACTTCTTATTTTATAACCTTTCATAGAAGTCTTTAAATTGTTACCAAAAATATTTGTAAGTAGGGTAAGATGAATAAAACATCTGTCCCCAAATCATAATGAGACTGACTGGAAGCAATTCTAACAAAAAGTTTCCCAAGGAAATAAATCATATTTTTTAAATATTTTAAGCACACAAATATGTCATCATAATCATTTATCCATTTAGCTCTAACTATAGAGTTGTGTAAACAAGATCCAGTTCATTAAAGCATTTTTCTTGCCATTTAAGTCATTCTGCATTTCTATCTCAAATTCTAGGCAACAATTAATCTACTCTCTGTGTGTATAGTTTTTTTTTCTGGAGATTTTATAGAAATGGAACCATATATTATATGTAGCCTTTCATGTCTGGCTTCTTTTAATGTTTTCAAGGTTCATTCATGTTGTAACATATCAGTGCTTCGTTTCTTTATATTGTTGTGTAGCATTGCATTGTATGGACCTACAGCATTTTAAAAATTGTGAATGTAACTGCTTTCTTATTTTCATATTGTTCCATTTAATTATTTTTAATAATCTCAAAATGTATATGGCATATTTCCCCCTAACAAGTTTTGCCTACTATTAACATTATACTTCTAGGGTAATATATAATTTAATAGCTGATGCTTATCATAAAACCAGAATTCTAAGCAGTTCAAGTGTAGGTACAGTTTTACCCTTAAACAATGAAAGTCCTGAAAGTTTAAAGTATATTAATATAGAAATATTCCTGAAATTTAATTAGAAGGCATGCCAAAATATTTATGGTGTGGTTCTCCTAATAAAATTGACTTGTGTTTCTTAACATTTTATTGATTTTTAAAATTGTTATAAACATACTCCTTTGCACTTAATGTTTCAATCAGCAGATTAGTAGATTGTGCTTATGTTGACACACGTGATCTCAAGTTAATGGTTTGTTGTACTGTTCATTAGTGCTTCCATCACATTAAAAATGCTAGTTAGGGTAAAAAATTTGCACCCTGTAATTAGTTATTACAACAAAAAGGAGATGTATTTTGCCAGGATCAACATACACTTTTTTTGTTTGTTTGTTTGGTTTTTTGAGACAGGGTCTCACTATGTAGTTGAGACTGTCCTGGAACTCACTATGTAGCCCAGGCTGGTCTCGAACTCACAGCGATCCTCCTGCCTCAGCCTCCCGAGTGCTGGAATTACAGGCGCGCGCCACCACGCCCGGCTCAACATACACTTTTTTTCTAGCCTTCTGGTAGACATCCAGCATTTAAATCACTTGTCCTTAAAGTATAATCTTTCAGACTATCTGTCTTATAAAATAGGATGAGGTATTACCCTTGAAACATTGAATAAATATCATAGCTGTCCCTATTGGATAAAAAAATTAAAGTATATTTTAAATGTTTTTTTCAGAAATTTTTTTCTTGGATAGCAGTTATTACTTAACCTCTTACATATTAATAAATATTAAAAAATGATGAATTGTATTTATGTATGCTAGTTGAAAATCTCAGATTCTCATGCTTACTTCAACAGTTTATTTTTACTGACAGAAAAGTGCATTTTATATAGTGAAATTAATGTCATTTTGTGATGCACTGTCTCTGAGCAAACCTGAGGATCACCAAGTTAAATAAATCATTAGAAAGGATCAGAAATGTAAATATACTAATTGTACTCACTTGCTTTTAGGTACCTAAGACTCACAAAAATCTATGCCCTCAATTTAATGACTACATCATATTATACTTTTAAACTGTAATGAATAAAAAAGCCAGATAACACTGTTCTCCAACAAAATATGAGTGTCAAATAGACTGTTATTTGCATTAAAGCTTGAGAGAGCAGATAAAGAACAGACTTGTCCACTATTTCCACAGTTTCTAAACAGCTCTTTGAATGTTTTTTTCTTTTGAATTTTCTAAAATTTAAAGCTATTAAATTGACATTTAACGTTTTATAAATCATAGTGGGGCAGTGTATGTACTATTCTGTTCCTGGAATATTTTTACCTCTGATTAATGATTGTGTGACTTTTCCCCCTATAGGCATGAAGCAAAAGAAGGTAGAAGAGGTAAAGGTTTTTGAAGATTGTCGTCGCAAGGAACAGCATCAAAATATGAAGATTTCCTTTGATTAAAGGCCTATATCTTTAGCATATTGTTTCGAGATTATTAATTACCTATACATTTTGATGGTGTTAAATAGAGTAGTATTTACAGTTAGTAGTTAATCTTTGGTTAAAATAAAATGTGCATGCATTTTTTCCATTTAAATATTGTGCTATTATGAATTATACTGTAGTTTTGCTTTCAAAATTAAATAAAAGCTACTGTTAGTTCCTTTGTCCACGCAGCAATCTATTGGATGCATACTCTATGTGTGTAATGTATATCTTACCCTCCTAGATTTCGCATCTTACCACCAATGCACATATTCCTTCTCACTCCAACTGAATTGTGGGGAGATGTTTGCCAAAAAGTACATGCCAACCAGTCTTTACTGTGTGCTTGTTAGATTCAATGTAAAGTGCTAGATACTGTAAAGCCTCTACCTTTAATAAAACTTACTATCTAGTTTGACTTATAATTAACTCCTATCTGTATAAAAATGACATAAACAATATAAGGAAATGTGTTATGAACTACCGAAGGTTTGTTAAAGAAATTCAGGGAGTGAACAGGGTGAATTTAGAATTTGTATATGTGCTGCCGAAGTGAGCATGAATTTAGAATTTGAACTGGGTTTCTCGGTCTTGTTTTTAGTTTTGGTTTGGTTTGGTTTTTGGTACTGAGGATCATACACAAGTCCTCACAAATGATGGACAAACACTCTACCACTGGGAGAAAATATTTTTGAAATTAATATTAGTGGAAGTTAGTCTTATTAGTAAACTAAATTCCAAAACTTTCATGGCCTCTCCTTTTCGTATTCAAACTTTTCCAAAAAGCATCTTCTTATCCAACTAAGTCTTTGTTACCACTCAAAATTATTGAATGTAAAGATAATCCAGAGACCACTTAATCTTCTTGCTGATTTCTGTGGGCAAACAACCCAGGCCCACAAAAGTTATTTTAGAAAGAATAGATTCATGGAATTCCCTTATTCTTTTATTGTAAGATATCTAATGGCTCTTTGGCTTTAATATATGATGTATGGTTTTTGTTGGTTTTCATGTATTCACTTACTTGTTTGTCAAGAAAGTACTTTGTTCTTAGTTAAGTATTGTAATCTCTTGTGTTCCACTTAAGTCATCAATAAACCTGATGTTTAAAAAATAAAAGTATAGTATCAAAATAAACTCTTTTATTTTTTAAGTCAATGAAGGTCTGTTTCCCATAATAACTGAGCTAAAGTTCTATTTCCCCAACTACATATGGTCATATTGGGAGATACATATTATAGGAAGAAAATATTTTTACTGGTTTTTGTTTTGGTTTGGTTTTTTGGTACCAGGGATTGAACTCAGGTCCTTGCACTTGCAAAGCAGGCACTGGAAGAAATCCCCGGCTGGAAGAAAATATTTTTGAAATTAATATTAGTGGTAGTTAGGTCTTTTCTTTTTTTTCTTTTTTTCTAGTACTAGGGATCGAACTCGGGCCCTTGCACTTGCAAGGCAGGCAGCGAAACCACTGAGCTAAATCCCTGGCCCTAGTGGTAGCTAGTCTTATTAGTAGACTAAATTCCAAAACTTTCATAGCCTCTCCTTTTCCTATTCAAACTTTTCCAAGAAGCATCTTCTTGTCCAACTAAGTCTTTGTTATCACTCAAAATTATTGAATGTAAAGATAATCCAGAGACCACTTAATCTTAATGATTTCTGTGGGCAAACAACTTTTGATTAAAATCTTGAGTAATCTTTAATTTTTTAGTTCAATATTATTACTGTTATACCTTAGATAAAGATATTTTCCCTGTTGTTTTTTGGAGACTCAACTTAGTCAGTATATAAGTTAAATTCCATGTGGATTCAGTAAAAAGAATACAATATTTTCGAAGAAATTGTGGTTTTAGTTTTGTGTCTGCCTAATTATCTGAACAAATAATGTCATCTTGGTCAGAGCATTTTTTTCTGCAAAGTGAAAACATTGTTTATATTGGATTTTTCCCAAATGTTTCATGAGAGTAAACTGTTTCATTTCTGTAAAGTTTTGAAATTCCTTTGTCTTTTCACCTTTAATTGTCCTTACTGTAAATTTTCTAAGTAAAATAGAGTACACAAAAGTACTTCTTATAGTACCTTGCTGTTCATTCTGCCCTGGAAGTGATGCTGGTTTTATCTAGTACATACAAGATGCCAGTGGATTCCGGATCAATCCAGTAATCCTTTAAGATTTACTAGGGTATCTCAATGTAAGATCAGAAATCTGGACCTTTGGACTAAATCATTCCTTAGATTCTTTGACTCTGGTTCTAACATGTTTGAACATGCCATTGTTGAACAACAAATATTGATTTTTTTTATTATTTTATTTTTTATCAATTTTAGTAGTTTTTTGTAATATATACTAAATGTATTCATCAAATTTAGTGTTTAGTGTTTCTGATCTAGGTCTTTAATCCACTTGGATTTTAGTTTAGTGCATGGTGAAAGATAGGGGTCTAGTCTTAATCTTTGGCAGGTTGAAATCCAGTTTTTCCAACACTATTTATTAAAGAAGCTATCTTTTCTCCAGGGAGAATGGTTGGCTCCTTTGTAAAAGGTGAGGTAGCTGAGTGTGTCTGCAGTTGTTTCTACATCTTCTAATCTATTCCACTGAACCTCGGGTCTGTTTCTTTGCCAGTGCCATGCTGTTTTATCACAGTGGCTTTGTAATATAGTTTCAAGTTGGAGATTGTGATACTCCAGCCATGTCTCTGTTGCCTAGAATTGCTTTTGCTATTCTATGTCTCCTATGGTTCCAAATGAATTTTTGGATAGTTTTCTCTGGTTTTGTGAAATGTACTGTTGGGATTTCAATAGTTATTGCATTGAATCTGCATAGCAGTTTTGGAAGTATGGCCATTTTCCCTATATTGGTTTTTCCTACCCAGGACCAGGGGATGTCTTTCCATTTTCTTATATCCTCTTCGATTTTTTTTTTTTTTCAGAGTGTTGTAGTTCTCAGTGTAGAGGTTTTTTGCTTCCTTCATTAGATTGATTCATAAATATTTCATTTTTTGGTTGCTATTATGAGAGGAATTGTTTCCCTAATTTCTCTCTCAGGGAGTCTGTTATTTTTGTACAAGAAGGCTATTGACTTTTGAGTGTTGACCTTGTACCCCACTACTCTACTGAATCTGTCAATTAAGTGAATAAGTCTTTTGGCAGTTTTTTTGGGTCTTCCATGTAGTGTTATATCATCAGCAAATAATGGCGATTTCATTTCTTCCTTTCCTATCTTTATTCCTCTCATTTCTGTCTCCTAATTGCTGTGGCTAGTGTTTTCAGAACTCTATTGAACAGAAGTAGTGATCCTTTTCTTGTTCCTGATTTTAGCATGAAAGTTTTCAGTGTTTGACCATTTAGTATGATGTTGGCTGTTGGTTTTTAATAGAAAGCCTTTACCAAGTTGAGATAAAGACCATCTATTCAAATTTTCTGCAGGGTGTTTATCATAAATTGTTTTTTAATTTTGTTGAATACTTTTTCTGAAATAATGGTATATTCTTTTTTATGTGTGCTTTTATAACTTTCTTACAAACTGCTTTCCTTGTCTCCCATATGTTTTGGTATTTTGTGGTTTGTTATTTGATTCTAGGAACTCTTTAATTTCATCTCTGATGTCTCCTGTGAACTATTGATTATTCAGTAATATATTATTTAATCATCATTTGTTTGCATAGTTTCTGTGGCTTCTTTTGCTCTTGGTTACTAACTTTATTCTTTTATAATCCAATGGTGTGCAATGAATTATTTAATTTCTTTTGTATTTATTTCTCATATGTTGTATGGCCTAAGATATGGTCTATTTTGGGAAAAGTTCCATTTGCTGTTGAGAAAATGTCTATTGTACTGTTGGACAAAACACTGTAGATAGCTGTTAAGCCTGTTTGTTCAGTGGTGTGGTTTAACACTGATGTTGCCTGTGACAGTAGCATATTGACATCCTCCGCTGTGATTGCATTGGTGTGTATCTGTCCTTTTATATTTAATAATTTTTGTTTTAGGAAATTGGATGTGCCAACGTTTGATGCATATTAAAATTGTTGTTTCTTCCTGTTGAATTTTTCCCTTTACTGGTATGTGATGGCTATCATTGGTTCTTCTAGCCAGTTTTGCTGTGAAGTCTGCTGTGTCTGAAGATAGGATAGCTACTTCTGCTTGTTTTCAGGCTCCAGTTGAATGGAATATTGTTTTCCATGCTTTCACTTTCAGTCTATATACTTTTAGATGAGGTGTTCCTCCTGTAGGCAATATATATTCATGTTTTGGTTTTTTATTCAATCTGCCAGTCTTTATCATTTGGTTAGGGAATTGAGACTGCTGACATTGAGAGTTACTATTATAGTTATTGAATTCTGTCATTGCATTTTCCAGTGTTGATTGTTGTTTTCCTTTTTCAAACTACTCTCCCAACTCTACTGTACTAGTGAATTGAGTTATTTGGCTACCCTTGTTTTACTTCATTGTCTGTGAGATCAGCTTTTGGGGAGTTAGGGATATTGGGAAGGGGGATATTGTTACCTTGCTTTCTCATATTTTATTGTTTTTGTACTGCTGATTGAAGATCTGTTAGGGTAGAAAAACTTTGTTGCTACCATAGAGATCTATTTACTTAGATTCTGCTTTCTTTTGGTATATCCTTGGGTTTGGATATGTTTTGGTGTTTACATTCGTCTTCAATCTACTCAACATAATATTTCAGGATTTTTTTAATGCCCGGCCTTCTTCTGGGGACTTGATCCCCAAGACCACTCAGAAGAGAGAAAAAGAACTACAGTAATGTTGACAATACAAAGACAAGATATTGGCATACATTAAAAACCAATTTACTATTAGAATGAGAGGAGGGGTTGACTGCAGAATCACATGTACTTTTTAAAATATATATGTCATGGAACCAAAATTTTTAGCTAAAAATGTCCTTTTCAGGGAAAGGACATTTAAGTTAAAGGAAGATTTACATAAAAACACTTGAACAAAAACACTGTAGAAGCAAAAAAAAATTTCAATAGCTACTATTCTACCATTAATAATAAAAAAATCAGCAGTGATAATAGAGTCAAAGACTAAGTGATTGTTGGCATATCATAAGAATCAATAATAGGTAAAATTCTATCATCTTTAATAGGATAGAAATCTGGAATAATAATTAGGCATTAATATAAACTAAATACATTCATTGCTTAAGCAAAAAACGATACTGCTATTAGCAAAAGAAAAGAATTCAGCAATAATAATGGTCAAATAGCTAAAAATTAATTGAGCTTAATGGTAATAATAATGGAACAGTGGGAGGAGAAAATGAAAGAAGTAAAATTTGAAAAGAAAAGATGAGGTAAGCTGGGCGTGGTGGCGCACGTCTGTAATCCCAGCACTTGGGAGGCTGAGGCAGGAGGATCGCTGTGAATTCAAAACCAGCCTGGGCTACATAGTGAGTTCCAGGTCAGTCTCAACTACATAGTGAGACCCTGTCTCAAAAAAAACAACAACAAAAAAATGAGGTGAGGAAAGAGGAAAAAAAGAGTTAATAGAATTAGGTAAAAGTAACAAAACAAGGAAAGAAAAAGAATAAAAATAAAGAGCAAAAGGTAGAGGGGCAATCCACTTTCCTGTCCCCCTTCTGTCTCTCTTTAGACAGAAGCTTTCTTTCCCTCAGTAAATTGTTCCTACTCTTAACCCCCATTGTTCCTAGAATTCATTCTTCGATTTTAGAGACCATAAACTCTCATTTTGGATATCTAGCAGGTTTTGGAGTTTCATCTCTTCCTCCTATATCATTTTGGAGATCTCACCAAGATTACTGGGCAGAGTATTTAATTCAAGGCACTTTCCTCCTCTTTGGCTGCTGAATTTCAAGATAAAGCTTCCAGAATGTTTGGAGACCAAAACTAGAAATGTAACTGGACTATGAGGACAGCCAATATTTTGGCTCTGGCCCCTCGAGGTCTACAAGATTCAGGACATAAAGGAGCCTTTCCTACAGGATCCTACATCTTTGAGGCTGCCAAACTCCACATGGTCATACAAATGGAGCCAATGAGAAATGTGCTAGACTTCTTTTACCAGGATCCACCAGATCAACCTTGTAAACAGCTTGTAACTGCTAAACTAAACAATATCACTTCTATGTGGTATTCTGATGTCCCCTGGACCTTCTCCTTATATTCTTTGTGGGCTATATCCATAGCAATCCTGCTATAATTTGGCCCATGCATTCTTAACTGTTTCTTTCACTTTGTCTCCTCCAGATTTAAAACCTATGCAGCTATCAAGATGAAAATGCCTGGCACCTATGAAAGGCCTTTAGATAGACCCTCTGTAGAGTAACTCTAACTGCTGATCACAACTATGACCCTCTTCAGCTGAAAGTAGCCAGAGCTGTCTTCGTCCTTTCCCCGCTCACAGCAGTTAGGGGTACCTCTCCAGAGAGGGGAATATTACAGATAGGTAAATTAATTAGATATCAGGACCACCCTCAAGAAGCCAACACAACCAGGAGCCAACATGGAGAACAATCAAAACACATTCACTGAAGGCCGGAGTTGTAAAAGGAGAGAAACTACTATATAACTTTGTGCTTCCCATGGGGATAAGTAGCAGTGATTGATATTCCAAATAGGTTTCAATTACCTGGGTGTGGGGTCAAGGTCTTAACCCAGCCTTTCCTGGAAATATCCCTGACCTCCACCCTTACTGAAAATCCTTGTATGCTTGCTATGCGACTTGCTCCCCCATTTGATTCACATTTAATCACCTGGGTGACTACTTGTAATCTTATTGGTTAGTCATGGTTTTGCCCCACCTCATGCTCACCTTGTAATTTTCCATTGGGTCTGACAGCTTTGTCCTACTTTGTACCCACCTCACCAGATGGCTTTGCTGTATATAACACCTTTGAGAAGTGGGGTGAGTGGGCAACCCACTTTCCAGTCCCCCTTCTGTGTTTCTTAGACAAAACCTTTCTTTCCCTCAATAAATTTTTCCTACTCTTAAAAAAAAGAGCAAAAGGTAGAAAAAATAGAAACAAAAAGAAATGAGTCCAAAAAAATCCTCTGTATTTATGTATGAGTGAGTGTTTTTTTCCAAAGCCTGTAGTATTGTAATCCACCAGATATGAGTGAGGGAATAGTGAGTCACAATTTAGGGCTATTTTATTTTCATAACTAATTTCTGCTATGTGAGTGCTGAGTCTTGTCTCTTTGCTGTTGCGTGAGGTCAGTCAATAGTGTGGTGTCTGCTTAGGGTTATATTCACACCAGGACTCTTAGTGTTTGAGCTCTTCTGGGTGTATCAAATCATGTGATCTCTGACAAGCTTTACAGTTGGTGAGCTCCTGAGGTGCCCTTCTTGTTCTAAGGGAATGCTAGGATGTGGCAACTGTCCCTGCTGAGGTGTATTCCTAATCTTGTTGGCAGATGGGAAAAAACAAAAAGCTGGGCGTGGTGGTGCACGCCTTTAATCCCAGCACTCAGGAGGCTGAGGCAGGAGGATCACTGTGAGTTCGAGACCAGCTTGGGCTACATAGTGAGTTCCAAGTCAGTCTCAACTACATAGTGAGACCCTGTCTCAAAAAAAAAAAAAAGAAAAAGAAAAAACAAAAAGACCATTGAGCTCTAATAGGAGTAGGCAGCGGGGATAGGCAACCAGTCTTCTGGACTTAACATCAGCATTTTTAAACCCAGGCCTCTCAGAAAATGACATAATTGGCTTGGGTGGACTTGGTGTGTTCTTCACAACCTGAGCATACTACTGCTTAAACTTCTCAGGGGGTCTGTAACTGACATACTCTTCTATGACTTACTCTTGCGGCTGTCTCCCACCCAGTTACTGTGGTCAGGTGACTCCAGAGACTCAGAAGTGAAATTGCATTGTGACTTTTGATTCCGGAGTAGCTCAGTCTCAAACAATAAACTCTTTCCTCAAGTGGCATCTGATTATACTACTCCAAAATATGGTAAACATTGTAGTGAATTTGTTCTCCAATTTTAGCCCCCCAAGTGGAAGGAGTAACTTTCAGAGTAAACACACACACACACACACACACACACACACACACACACACACACACACTCTGTATTTGCACCTCACAATACCATAGGATTTTCTTGGGGCTAGTGCTGCTAGTTCATTATTTCTCTGTGGTGCTGCTGACTCTCTGTGAGTTTACCAGACCAGAGATAGGACCTCCTCCCCAGGAGCTGAGGTTATTGTTCCAGACTGCTAAGTACTTTTCTCTGCATTGTCTTCACTTTCTCTTTAGTAGTTTCAAATTTTCTGGTTGGCTCATTCTTGATTCCTAGAGCTGATCTATTTTTGTTTTGTTTCGTTTTGTTTTGTTACTAAGTTGTTTCCCAGGTATCTCTAGTCCAGGAACTGGAGAGACTATTTTGCTTTGGTCTTTATTCCACCATTTTTAATGTTGAACAAAAGTTTAGAAATAGCCCCCTTTTGCCTGTAATGTTAGGCAGCATATTTGTTAGGCTCTACAGGCTTGAGATCCTTCTTGCCACTGTTAACCAGCTAAGATACTAACTGAAGGAAAATTCTTAAATTTGTGATGTTGCTACTTTTTCAGTGCTTATCCATTTTTTTGTACTTTAAAAACATGATGCACTTATTCTCTCCATAACAACATTTATTCTATCTCATTTTAGAAATTGGAAAAACATTACAATTGTGTATTCCTGATATTGGATGATGAGTAGATTTAAGAGATTTTCGTTTTTAACATCTTCCATATCTTGGAATTATAATTCCTTCACAATGTGTTCATCAGAAGTATGCTGCAAACAAAGTGTCTAAAAAGGACAAATCCTGAATATGTGTCTATATTAAGAAGCTTCTAGCTTAATTAAACTAACCTTGTTAAATTGTGAGAAAGACAAATGGGGCATATTTTTCAGTTTGTCATAAATTCTTTTAAGGGCAAATTACCCCATGGGAAGATCTTTGTGCCTGTGTATAACATTTATAGGTCTTAAAGCATTTCATGCACTGGTATTCTTTTAAGGTGAGGAAAGGGATGCCATAGGAAACAGAATAGCTGTTGTTGCATACAGTTAAAAATTTTGGCAGAGCTAGAAATTGCCTGATTTTCTTTCTACTGCAATTTTCTAAATGTCTCTTGATACCTACCTCTTAGGCTAGCTACAGTTATATACAGGTAAATAACCTTGGTTTTCATTTCAGTTCCACAGCCATGTATATCATTTAGCCTTTCATTCTCCTCTCATCCCACCTAGTGGATTTCTAATGTAGTGTGCATCACTTCAAAAGCATCATTTTTTAGAAGTATACAAGTTTGGTATAAGGGGGGAATTTTTTTCAACTTTCTTGTATTTTTTCCAACATACTAGCATTATCAAAGCTACAAATTTTTATCTGCATTTATTCAACTGTGTGCTTTCAGAATACAGTCATTTGCATATAGTAGATTTAGTATAAGTCTAATACTTACGATGGTATTTTCAGCCTCCTGGATGTTCTCAAGATAGGAGGAACAATGTTGCAGAGGATTTTTTGTTTTGTTTCAGAAACTGCTTTTTTGCTCTAACCTGAACATGGCAATACAAAGTAATTTGAGTACGTCTGAACCAACTGGTTCATCTCGGAATACTTACTCATAAATAACCTCCCTATCACGAAGTGACTGTAAATCATATTTTGTATAGTGCTTTACAATCACTCTATCCTTTTGAAGAATCATCCCCATTTTACATGAGGAAGCTGCCCTAAAGTAGTTAAAGAAATTTAACTGAAACCACAGCTCAAATTTAAATCCAGATTACCTCCAAACCATCCGGGCATGGTGGCGCACGCCTGTAATCCCAGCACTCAGGAGGCTGAGGCAGGAGGATCACTCTGTGAGTTCAAAACCAGCCTGGGCTACAAAGTGAGTTCCAGGTCAGTCTCAACTACATAGTGAGACCCTGTTTCAAAAAACAAACAACAGATTACCTTCAAACCCCCTCTATGCCGTATTGTCAATAACTCAGAACTAAGATTCAAATCAAAGTAATGTAGTCCCCCACATCCACAATTTTTGCTTTTAAAATTTGGCTCCTTGTGGTATAAGATCTCCTTTTAATTAACCAACTGATTCAGTGATACATGGTTCAAAATTCAAAGGACACAAATAAAAAATATGCAATGAATTTTTTTCCTGTCCTTCATCCTCAGCCATCTAGTTCCCTGCTTGGAGACACTCGCTGCTATTTTTAAATTTTTATATGTTCTCCCAGACATATTTTGTAATTTTAACCACTATACTATACCTCTCTTTTGATTCGCTACAATGATCTATAACACATTCAAAGGCCTGAATACATACTGATTTCTGACTTTGAATTGGATGAGCTCAGAAGTCTCTATCATAGGTAGAAGAGAAGCATTAGTGCAAGCAATATGTATCAAGACTATAATACAGCGGATGGATTAGAGACTACTGGAAGTAGCACATTGGCCCGATAACCTTTGAAAGTGAAACTTATTAGGAACAAATCTGATGGAAATTAAAGAGCTAGGGTTTAATCATACTAGATGAGAATCAAGAAGTCACAGGTGACTCCTGGGTTGATGAGATGGTCATTTTGGGTGTTAATCTTTAATTTAAAAGAGACGGTAGAGAGAATTACTTAAACAATCTACAATACACCTGTCACTCCATAGCTTCTCTTTCCATTCGTATATACGTAGGTGTGCTACTACAATTCCCAGAGTCCCATGCTTCGTCACAATCCCCGTAGAATCTGCTGCGCAGAATTCTGGGACTTGCGGTCCGAGGCCTATTTACTCAAATTAGAAATAAAGGCCTGTGGAAACATGAAGAGGTAAGGGCTTGTGTGAGTTGCAGGCGAGAAAAAGAGTTCCTTTTACTTTGAAAATGGCTTTTATAACTTTCTGTTAGGACTATATCACGTTCTTGGGAGGCGGTTTCATGTGATCGGGAAGACAGGAAGGGAGGAGGGAATACGGACTAGATAGGCCTGTGAGGCCAACTTCAAGAAGGGCCGCGACCGGGCGATTTCGATAAAAATGGTCTCCAGACACAGACCCCCGGAGCTTGCTGGGTGGTGCGGCACCTTCTTGGGTCAGAAGGATCTAAAAGATGTTGGTTGACGCATTCCTGGGGCCAGACAGAATACCCGGGGCAGCTGGCTCTTCGCCGGCCTGCTCGAGTGCCTCATCGGATAAGGGCTCAGGGTGGGTCCATTTATTTGCATTGTCTGTGTACTAAAATTTTCAGGGGCCATAAAGCCAGGTAGCGCTTTCAAATCTTAAAGTTTAAAGTGATATTTTGTTTCTATAGGTTTAGAAGGAAAGCACAAAAACGATTCGTTGTGTTAAAGTAAAAAAAATTAATTAATTAATTAATTAAATAAAAGGCATTGCGGCAAGCAGTTCCCCCTACTGGTTCTGCTGTAAATGTCCGCTGGAACCTGCATGGTCCTTCTTGAGAGCCGGAGCCTAAAAATTAATGGCAGAACAGAAAGTCTTGTAAGGATCCTCATTAAATTAGTTTTGTATTCACTCAGCAAGAGAATCAACATTCTGGAATAGGGCAGTGCATTTAAAATACTTATTGATATTTTCTTTTGCGCTTTGAGTTCCTTGCATCTTTTAAGAAACCGTTTCTGATGTTTGTGCCTGAGGAAAACCTTTAAAAATTTTAACGATGTATTTCATATATGCAAAATAACGTATATAATGTATGTATAGTTAAAAAATAATCACAAAGACTTGTATCCACTACTGTCTTAATAAATGGGACATTGTAGTACCTTGAAAGTCCTTTGTGTCTCCTCTCTGATTGCTTCTCCCTCTCCCTTTTCTTCTCCCATGAAATTACCACTTTCCAGAATTTTGCATTATTCCTTGCTTTTTTCTTTTAAAAAATATTTCTTCAGCATACCAATTTATCCCCAAACAAAATATTCCTACTTTTACTCATTTTTAACTTTATACAAGTGGACACAATTGTATGAATTGTTCTGACTTATTTTTTTAAACTCAACATTTCTTTAGGAGAGTTACATGTGTTGATATATTTGGCTATGGTATATTCACTTAAAAAAACCTTTACTCTTAGCAAGAACTTCTGGAATTCTGAATAATAAAAATGAGACATTTAAAAGTATGTAAAGAAAGTATAGAATTTCCCCAAATAGGGCCAATTCTTTCTAGAGCATGTGAATTCTGTATATATTTATAAAGGGTTTTTTTTTAGACCTTATGACAATCCCACTGGTTAAGCCCTATTTTATAAGGAAGGTATTTAATATTCCCTCATGGAGTTGAAGCTTATTTTGTGTTTGCATTTTATAGTCTTAGCATTGCATGTGTAAATGGTCCTGTTATTTCTTCATACTCTAATAGGAGTTTTCCATTATTTCAGCTGGTTAACACTAGCCATTGCCTGTATTTCTACACAGTGGTGGCTAGACTAAAATGTCATGATTCTCTTCTTATTTCTTTCTATACTCTCCCTTTTAGATGTATCCTCCTCTGTCATATCTCTACATCTTGACTCCATAATGCCTCAAAATTTTTGTGTTTCAATCTGAGAGTCTTCTCATTTTAACAGTTTTCTGATCTGTCACTTTCATTTTAGCCTATCACTTCTTGTTTCTGCAGACTTGGTGTCTTGGAGGTATTCCTGATGCTTCATGATGGTATTTCAATCATAATAGGTAGTTAACTTAGTGTGGCTATAATGATACTGATTTTCCCTTTCCTCAACAATTTATTCCAGTTTCTTCTTTCATTGATTGGTTCCATCATTCTCTTGTTGCACAGTTTGAAATTTGAGTGTTAATCTTTGACTTCTTGAATCTCTTCCTCCTTCAGAAACTTTCTTTTCTAACTGTTTCTATTTCCACTATTGTCACTCCAGTCTTGACATGTATCATTCTTATACTTCAATAATTTCATAACTGATTCTTCTGGTTTCTTCTTTTCTAATCCATATGGCATATTATAAACATATTCATCTTCCTAAACCATCACTTAGCACTGTGTTACGAAATTGCCTGGTAAATTATTTTCTAATACCTGTATGTTTAAGTCCAGGCTCAGAGTATTTAGAGCTATTGACAGTCTGAATCTAAACAGAACTTTCCATTCTCTCCCAGTATATATTTTTGTCTCTTTAAAAATAATTTCCCAGTTTTCCTTTTCTTTGTTACATCCAATCCTTCAGTGCCAGTTTAAGAATAGCTATCTGATCTCAGCACTCTGGGAAACTGAGGGAGAAGGATTGTAAGTTCAAGCCCAGCCTGGGCAACTTATTAAGAATAAATTTTTTAAATGGCTGGGGATATAGCTCAGTGTAAAGGACCTAATAGGTTCACTCCCTAATACCACCAAAAAAAAAAATCCCTTCCATGAGCTCTTACTAATCTGGCATAAACTTCTCTCTATCATTGTTCATTCACATTCTCTCCCCCATGTACCTGCAACCAAACACATTTATTTCTCCATATATAGATTGCAAGTTTCTTGAGGATAGAAACTGTGTCTTCAGTGTGTGGGACTTCCATCAGTACCTAACATAATGCCTATTATGTAAGTAGGTACTGAATAAGTGTGAAATGAATGATAAAGGGAAATGGATTATTAAAGAAGTGTTTGAATAAACATCATTAATAACAGGTAATATAGATAAGGAATATGTTTTCAGATTCTTTGTGTCTTTTCCTGTATCCACTACTTTTTGTGTCTTTTCCTGTGTCTACTCTAGGGTTAACAGCTGTGTGAAGAGTGATGAGCATGTCCTGGAGGAGCTGGAAACAGAAGGGGAGAGGCAGCTGAAAAGCCTCCTTCAGCATCAACTTGATACTTCTGTCTCCATTGAGGAGTAGGTATTGATTTTTGAACAGGTAGAGTATCATAGACTCATAGACCCTCAACTCTGGTTGATAGACCCCTCTTAAAACCTGAAGAGAACGTGCCTTTCTCATTTTTCTACTTTCTTGGGTAGACTTCTGTGGGTTAGTCGGGGTTTTGTTTTTGTGTTTCTCCTCTGAGAAACTTTCCATGTCCCACTAAATCTGGACCAAGTACCTTTCCTAAGCCCTTCTTTGGTTCCCTGTTTTCCCCCAACATAACAGTTATAACTCAATATTGTCATTACCAATTTGCCTCTCTTCTGTTCTTTCATGAAAGCAGGAAATGTGTGTGTGTGTGTGTGTGTATTCCTCAGTATAGAGAACACTATCTGCTGCATAGTCAATATTTAGTAAATATTTATTGATTTAGCCATCTGTTGGTCCTGGATAAAGTGACATTAACCGAGTTCCATTTTGTTGCAATGATGCTTCAGCCTAGAAATAGAATGTGAGAGCAAAATTTCCAGTTAGTTTCATTATACATCTTATGATGGTATAGTCCTATTCCTCGGAACTGTGGTAACCTCAAGATGTTCTTATTCCCATCTTGCTTGTTTTATAGATGTATCTCTAAGAAAGAAAGTTTTGCCCCTGGTACTGTGTACAAGCCCTTTGGGAAGGAAGCAGCTGGGACTATGACTTTGTCCCAGTTCCAAACACTACATGAAAAGGACCAGGAAACTGCTTCTCTCAGGGAACTAGGGCTCAATGAAACAGAAATCATGATCTGGAAGAGCCATATTTCAGGTGAAAAGGTGAGTGGGGCAGTTTTTTTTTTTTCTTGGAGAATAAAGAACAGGATCACTTCATTTTGGCATTGAGAAGCTTTTAATTTTTAGTTCTCATAAAACTGATCTTTGGGTGTGAATCTTTGGTTTTATAGGATAGGGACATTGTTAAAAGATAAGCTGTTAATTTCCTAACACTTTCCATAAACACTTTAAATTTCTGGGTCCTACTCATCTTTCTTACCTAATGCATCAGATCATCACTTTCAGCATGTGTCCTCTGTGATATATGCTGTCTTATTTCCCTGATTGCAGAGGACAAAGCTGAGGGCAACTCCTGAAGCAATACAGAATCGTCTTCAAGATATTGAAGAAAGGATTTCAGAGCGTCAGCGCATCCTTTGCTTGCCACAGAGATTTTCAAAGAGCAAACAGCTGACCCGGCGAGAAATGGAAATAGAAAAGTCTTTATTTCAGGGAGCTGATCGTCACTCCTTCCTTAAGGCTCTTTACTACCAAGGTATATGATCCTCATTGATTTTAATGTGTTCATTCACTGAGATAAAGACAAAATCAAAGCATTAGATATGAAGAACTAATGAAGGGAGTAGGGGAAAGACAATCTGTTACTTTTCTTGAGGAATGCGTAATCCTCATGCATAGTTAATTGCATGACAACATGGAAATTGTTATTATAATGATATAAATCAAATGCTGAGGGAACACAGAACATAGAGCATCTAAGTCTAGTTGGGGGAGTCAGAAGTTGACATTATACTGTCTTAACAGATCACTAGGCATTTGCTAGATGAAGGGGAAAGGGTATTACAAATAGTGAGTGAATAGGGACAGGACTGTGAAAGGACCTGGTGTCTCTAGGGAACAGTGAGATGTTACATATAGTAGAGCTACAGCATATGGCAGAAGATGACAGGTGATGATGACATAGGAAAGGGAGGTGATGCCCTATTGTAAAGGGACTTTGAACTATATAATGGCACAAAATATGTGCATAAATAGTATCTGTCTTAACCAGAAAGAATTAAACACTTCAGTTTTATTAGGCCCTGTGGAGGGTGCACACAAGTTTAAGAAATGATTCCTGACCTTGTGCCAAGTAGTCTAGTTAGAGATACAAGTATATAATTAATAACAATGCTAGATGCCATTGCTAAGTGCTGTAGGAATTTAGGGTCTTATTGGTGTGACTGAAGGAGGCCTCTCAGAGGAGGTAAGATTTAAATATTCTTTTAATACTGCCTATTTAGAAAGGAGAGGGAATGGGACTTCAGTTGTAATCAATGGTATGAGTACTACTTACTGGGCAAGTTGTAAGAGACAATGTTGAAAATGTAGCCAAGCATTTTGGTTTTATTTGGTTGGTAGTATACAGCTATGCACAGGTACTTTTTCAATTAGTTTGAATAAAGTTAGAAATTTTTGAGCCAGGAATAACATGATAAAAGCCATATTTCAATATAATTAATGTAGTGACCAATAAATAGAATTAGAGAGAGGAAGAACTAGATGTAGAGAGAATGATCAGGAAGTCTTATAGTCATTCAAACATGAAGATCTGGACTAGAGTGTTGACAGTGGAATTGGACAGAGGTAGGTTTGGTTATTAGAGACATTACAAAAGAAGAATTATAAAACTTGTTAACAGAGAGTGAGAGCAGTGTCAATGAAGAAGAGTATGTCACGATAACCCAGATGTTTCAAAGCTGTGTGAAGTAACAATTGACAAAATTAAGAAAGCTTTTATATGAAAATTTTGAGGAAGGTTGGTAAGTTTAATTTTAAACATGTTTGTGAGAATGGCAGGATCATCACATGCAGATAGATGTTGAGGATGCAGTTAGAAATAAAGCATTGAGGTTCAGGAGACAGGTCAAAAGTAGATATATAGAACCGGGAATCATCTCTGCTTAGAATTAGATGATATGTTAAAGTCACGAGAATGAATGATTTGTTAGAGACAGAGAGAACATACACATGGCAGAGGAGTAGTGAATGAACAAATGAGCAGCCTTTTGTGGAGAGACATTATAGTATGCTGATTTTAAATATGGGCTCTTTAGGCAAACTGCTTAAGAAAATCCTGGCTCCCCCACTTACTAGCTATTAGATGCTGAGCAAATTACCTCTCTATGCTTCAATTTCTTCATTTGTAAAGTTAGAATATTAGTAGATATGTTATAGGGTTGTTAGGATTAAATGAGGTAATACATGTAAATCACTTAGAGAAATACCTGGTATTGGGGTGGTGGGTGGTGGTGTGAATCTGTTCTGTTTCCTATCTTTGAAACTCCTTGCTTTAAACCTTCACAGCATACCACAAAAAGACAAGTGCAGACAAGTACATGACCTCAATGAAGAGGAAGATAAAATTAGGCACAAAAGGCAAGTCGAGAGTTTTCTTACAGTGTTAGATTTAGGAATGTAAACTAGGGTCCCAGGCTCCTAAGTGGAACACTTATTTAATTCCATATTCAGTGTATGATAATGTTTATAGGAAATGATCCAGATAGAACATATTATCCTGATATCAAATATTAAAGGGAGGAGTTAGTAGAAGTTGTAAAGCTTCTACATTTAGCACTGTTTTTCTCTATATACCTTTAAATTACTGTACCAGACATCAAATGACTTTGCTGACTTTTAGATCCCATTTCACAAATAATTATGAATATTTTATTAGTCGGTAAGGTATAAATATTGATGATGGTGGTAATGATGAAAGTAACAGTATAATAGCTAATATTTTATTTTTCAAAATGAATTTACAATAAAAATGCATGGGGCTTATTTTGGGTGTACAATTCTATGAACTGTAAATCATACAAATTCATGTAACTACCATCACAGTCAGAAGAGAGAACAGCTCCATCACCCTGAAAATCTCCCTCGTATTATCCCGTTATAGTCATTCCCAACTCCTGCCCATAATCCCTGGCAATCACTGCCCAGTTCTTCATCACTATAGATTTCTCTTGTAGAGACTGTCATATAAGTGGAATCATACAATGTGTAACTCTGTGAGACTGGCTTCTTTCATTCAGCATAATGCCTTTGAGACTCATCCAAATTGTGTGCATCAGTAGTTCATTCATTTTGCAGAATAGATTATACAATTCATTGAACAGATGTTCTGAAGTTTGTTCATTCACCCACTGAAGTGATTTTGAGTTGCTTCCAGTTTATAGTAATTATGAATAATATTGATATGAACGTTGTTGTCTAGGTTTCTGTGTGAACATAAGTTTTTATTTTTCTAAGGTAAATATCTAGAAGTGGGATTACTGGGTCATATGGTAAGTGTACATTTAACTTTATATGAAACTGCCAAACCATGTTCCAGAGTGGCTGTATCATTTTGCACCTCCATGAAAAATGTATAAAAATTCCAGTTGCTCTACATCTTTGTCAGCACTTGGTATTCAGTATTTATTTTGGTTGTTCTGATAGGTATGAAGTGATACCTCATTATTTTAATTTGCATTCCATTAATGGCTAATGATGGTGAACATCTTTTCATGTGTTTATTTGCCATCCTTATATCCTGTTTGGTAAAGTGTCTGTTCAGATCTTCCATTTTATCATTGAGTTATTTTCTTCCTGATGACTTTTGAGAGTTCTTTGTATTCTAAACTCAATCTTCCATTCAATATGTGATTTACAAATATTGTCTCCCAGTCTGTAGCTTGTGTTTTCTTTCACTTAAGAGTGTCTTTTATAGAGCTAACATTTGTTTTTATTATGGTAAAATATATATAACATAAAGTTAACCTTTTTTAAGTATATAGTTTTGTGGCATTAAGTATATTCATGTTCTGCAACTATCACCACTATCCATCCCCAGAGCTTTTTAGTCTTGTACCCATTAAGCATTACCTCTCCCTCTCCTCCAACTTCTGACATTTTACTTTCTGTCTTGAATTTGGCTATTCTATGTATCTCATATAAGTACAAGCATGCAATATTTGTCCTTTTGTGCCTGGTTTATTTTACTAAGCATAATGTCTTCAAGGTTTATTCCTATTGTAGAATGTTTCAGAATTTTTCCCTTTCTTAGGCTGAATAATATTCCATTGTACATATGTAGCACTTTTTTAATCCATTCACTCATCAGTAGACACTGACTTTATTTCCATGTTTTAGCTATTGTGAATAATGCTGCTATGAACATGATAATACAAATAAGTTTGAGTATCTGCTTTCAATTCTTTTTTGAATATATCAAGAAGTGAAATTGTGAGATTGTATGGTAACTGTACATTTAATTTTTGAGGAACTAGTCTATCATTTTCCATAGAGACTATGCTATTTTATATTCCAACCAGCAATGCACAAGGGTTCCAATTTCTCTGCATCCTCAGCTGCACTTACTATTTTTCTGGTATTGTTTCTTTATTTGAGCCTGCACCAGCTTAGACCACTTGGCTATCCTGACTTGTTTCTTTATTTGATAATAGCCACTTTAATGTGCATAATGTGGTATCTCATTGTGATTTTGCTTTGCGTTTTCCTAATGCTTAGTTCTGTGAGCATCTTTTCATGTATTTTTAGACATTTTTGTATCTTCTTGGAGTAATGTCTATTCAAGTCTCTTGTTTTTAAAGTGAATTGTTTATTTTTGTTGAGTGGTAGTTCTATGTATATTCTAAGTATTAATCCCTTATCAAATATGTGATTTGCAAATACTTTCTCTCCTGTTCCATGGCTTGCCTTTTTACTATTTTGTAGTATTCTTTGGTGCACAATGTTGCTAATTTTGGTGGTCTAGTTTGTCTGTTTATCTTTTGTTTTCTATGCTTTTGCTGTCCAGTCAAAAAAATAATTGCCAAATCCAACATTCTGAAGCTTCCCCCCATGTTATCTTCTAAACTATATAATTTTTGTTCTTTCCTTAAGTTCTTTGATACATGTTGACTTAATGTTTAGATATGGTGTAACATAAGGTTCCAACTTCATGTTTTGCTAGAGATACCCAGTTTTCCCAGTAACATTTGTTGAAAAGACTGTCTTTTTTAATCCTGGATGATCTTGCTGACTTTTGAAAAATTCATTTGATCATATGAATGTGAGTTTATTTTTATACTTTCTATTCTATGCCATTGCTGTATGTCTCTTTATGCCAGTATCACACTGTTTTAATTACTGTAGCTTTGTAGTATTTTTTAAATTGTGCAATGTGAGTCCTCTAATTTTGCTTTGATTTTTCAACATTGTTTTGTATATTTGGGGTCTCTTCAGATTTTTTATGAATTTTAGGGTAGATTTTTCTATTTCTTCAAAAAAATGTTACTGAGATTTTGATAGGGAATGCATTGAATCTGTAAATACTTTGGTTAGTGTAGACATTTTAACAGTATTATATTCTCATCCATGAACATGGGCTGACTCTATTATGTCTTTTATTTCTTTTAGAAAAATTTTATATACATCTTCTACCTCAGAGCAAATTCTTTGAACTCTTATAAAATCAAACCTATAAATTTACTTCATGGGTCATGCTGTGTGATATATGTGTGTATTAAGAACTCTGCCTAATATTTGTTCATAAAAATCTTATCCTGTGTTTTCTTCTGACAATTTTATAACTGTACATTTCACATTTAGATCTATTTCCCATTTTGACTTGATGTTTTTATAAGATATGAGAGCTAGATTAAGAATCATTTTCTTGTCTGTTACAGAGTATACAGCTGTTAAAGAGTATTCTTCCTCCATTTTTTGTCAGCATTTAATTGGATATGTTTGTGTTACTGTTTATCACTATTAGGGGTAAAACATTGAATGTTTTCCAAGAGCATTAGTAAGTCAGGGATGACACTGTTGCCACTTCTATTCACAGTGAAATAAAATTAGAAATTAATAATCAAAGAATGTATAGGACATTTATAAATACGTGGAAATTTATAAACTATGCTGAATAATTGATAGACCAAAAAGAAGTCACAGTGGCATTAGAAAATATTTTGAGATGAATGAAATAAAAATACAACACACCAAAACTTAGGGGATACAGTAAAAGTAGTTTTGGGGCATATTTATAGTTGTAAATGCCTCTATTAAAAAAGAAAGGATCTTAGATTAATAATTGAAACTTCACTGTAAGAAACTACAAAAAGAAAAGCAAACTAATCTTAAACTGAAGAAATTAATAAAGATTAGAATAAAAATAAATGAGAAAAATAGAGAAAAGTGATACAATAAAAAATTGTTTCTTTTTTAAAAAATCAACAAAATTCACAATTCTTTAGCTAGACTAATCAATTTAAAAGAGAGAAAACTTAAATTTCTATAACCTAGTCCTAATCAGGTTTGGTGGTACATGCCTATAATTCAAGCACTTGGGAGGCTAGGGCAGGAAGATTGCAAATTCAAGTCCAGCCTAGTTATATAATGAGGCCTTTACTAAAACAAACAAACAAACAAGCAAAACACCCTAAAATACAAACTCATTTCTACTTTGCACTTTGTTCCTATTTGCATGGATATCTTCTTCTATCCTTTTATTTTCAACCTGTATGTGTTTTTTAATCTAAAGTTTGTCTCTTACAGATGACAAATAGATGGAGTATGTTTCCTTTTTTAAATCAGTTCACCCAACACTCTCCTTTTCTGAGTGGAATGTTTTGTTTGTTTAATATATTTAATTAGAATGTGTTGATAAGATTAGGATTTATATCTGTCAGTTTGCTATTTTTTTTTGTATGTCTTATATAGGTTTTTTTCTCTTTTTTTCTCTCATTCAGTTTATTGGTACTTTTTAAGTATACAGTACAATTACATTTATCAAGATCCGAATAATTTTTTTTCTTTCTATTCTTTCACTCATTCCTTCTTTTATGTAAGTTGATTTTTCTGGTATGCTATTTTATGGGTGTTTTTGTTTTTGTTTTGTTTTTGCTACTGGGGATTGAACTCGGGTTCTTGTGCTTGGGAAGCAGATGCCAGAACCACTGAACAAATTCCCCGGCCCCGACTTTTTGCATGTGCGCACATGAACTTTGAGTCTGGTCACATAGAATTTTGCTTGTGGAATTTCACCTGAGACCACCAGACAGGTTAAGTAGTGAGTATTCCCTGGGAATGGTACTTCCAAGAGGTTCCAACCCTATTCTTTCCCCTTTAGTGACTGCCCTGCTCTTGGTTTTTTCTTTGATTTTATATCATTGGTTTTCAAGATTGTCATAGACCTGGGAAAAATGGATGGGAATAGGGCAAGTTATAACAGACAGACTCATTTTTCTTCCTGAGATTCAGCTATTTTTGATAAAGAGGTACCCCCTAGATTGCTTCAAGCCTTTCATTCTTTTCCAGAATTATGAAAGTTGATTTTGAAGGTTTTTCCTGCTAGTTTTCTCATTTTTTTTTTTTTAGGAATAAACTTTTCA